AGTTGTTTGGAGTTCCAGATATTTTTCAACTGTAGAAATGCAGCCCTTTGCCAATCCGCGCCCTCACATCTACATCCGATCCACCTTTCTCGTCGATGATGCTGCCCAGATTATCAAAAAAAAAAAGCTTCATAGTCACTTGATAAAATCAATATTGTACGCATATTTCATGACTGGTGTATTGTGAATACATACCTGATTTTGGTTATATCATCTAGCAAAAAACCAATTGATAAAAACAACTATGATGAACAAAATTGTATTTTCTAATTAAATATTAATTAATAATAAAGCTTTAAATCTCCCAATTCATGATTATTTCAATATTTCAATGAATTAACTTTCATTGGAAAAGTTAGTTAGCCTCTTTTGTTATCCTTGTTACGATAATGGGACCGGTTTTATATTATATTATATATTGTGTTTTTCCTCAATATACATTTCAAAATATGTTGTTGGCAACGCTTCGGCATTCTATTTGATTCAATTTATGCGCTTCCTTATTCTATTCAATTGAACATTGGAATTTCTCTAATCCATTGAACATTTTCACATTATTATCATGTGATATTATCATTCATTATTATTCTCCTTCTACTTCTCTTCTTCTTCTTATGCTTTCTTTCTTGTTTTGTTAAAATAGTCAAATATAATAACACAATTTTATTCATGTGTGCTTAACACCACCGATAGTGAAAATTCCAATTCAGTCAGTACTCAATAATAAAATTAAAAAAAACAGCATTTTTTCCCCCATTTCTAAGTAGAACAACAACAATTGTTGTATAACAGAATAAAAATCTATTGTCAATTTTCAAATTCAGGCGCCTACAAGCAAGCTAAAAAAAACAAGTCATATTATTTATACATTAACCCACTACTATTACTACTACTACTACTACTACTACAAGCAAATTCTTATCTAAGCAATGCTTTACATTACTTTACATCGGAATGGTTTTTGATTTTGTTGTTGTTGTTGTAGCTTTTTTCAAGTCTATTTTTAAGATGTAGTAGATGTATGTGTAGAATGACGAAAGAAAAATAATTCGAGGAATTATTTTAAGAGAAAAACCTTGTTCAATAAATAGAGTTGTTCATTTATAACTTGAAAATATTTATGCATACATATTCTAGGAGAGAAAATGGATGAGAGAATGAGAACAGAGTTTTTGTAACTAGATGAATAATGCCATATTTTATGTGATACTTAAATGAGAAAGAGATGCATAAAGCTTTGAATTATTTGTACCGGTTAGCGTTTTTTTGGCAAGTTAGTTTTTTGGTGGGGTAGCGTCGCCAATCACATGCCCAACTCTCCTCCTTCTTTATCCGGGCTTGGGACCGGCATTAGGCTCGAATGTTCTACAGACAACAACCTACTGTGGGAGAGAACAAACTATAGATTCCAGCGGAGAAGGAAATTAGGAAGAAGCGATGAAAGTGGATAGGATACACACTGCGAAAAGCAGTCAACTGCTTCACAAGATAAGCCCTTACTTGGAAGCCTTGAATTCAAAGCAAAAGTGGAAGGCCATGAAACACATTACGCCGAGAAATAGAGAAAGACATGAGAAGAATGCACAAAAATTGGACAGGACTGAGTTGGTTGGAGAAAACTGGTTGGCGGCCTTCTAATGATTTTAGTTAACTTATTCCAAGTTTATATCCTACACTGTAAGCTACAAAATTTTATAAGAGCTTGTATCTCCAGTAAGAATCAAATCTGTGATATATCGAACATAATTTCAGTGCTGCAGGCATTAATAATAATAATTCCTTTGAACCCTAATCTTCTTCATTACCGCTAATACTGTTGTGAACGAGAACACGGGTGGGGCAACCGGGTTGTATTTAACGAAAATTACAGACTTACTCAGTAAAATAGGAAAACCATATCGTAAATCGTTCATTTGCAAAATATCAGTCCATCATATCGAACTGGACTGTTCCTGTTGCAAAACATCAATCCATTGTCACTATTCATGCGTTTCATACAAATTCCATTGTTTTCTAACCCTTCGTTTCTTGATCTTCCCCCATCTTCTATTGCCAGACATTACATTGACGCTCACGTCATATACTACTTATAAGTAGCTCACACCACAATACTTCTACTATCTCTATCACTGTGGTATCTGAACTGATAATTGCGTCTCTATGCAAATATGGTATGGCAACTTGAACTTATGTACGTACGAAAGAAGTTCTACGCTGTAACTACTGCCTGACTAACTGACTGCTGCAGGGATTAAGTTATCGTTTCACAATACTCCTTTTTTATCATATTCGGTTGTTTTTTTATTCGTTATCCGCTTCACTCCACCAACATTGGCCTATTTCCCTAACATCTTTCACAAAAGTAGTAGTAGTAGTAGTAATAATTTGATTGAAACTTCATCAAAATCAAAACATGTACATGTAAAATAATTGAATGATTGTTTAAATTACATTGATTGATTATCTTATTTCCTGTTGCTTTTCTTGAGAGAAAAAAAACATAACTTACCTACAATAAAATATGGTTCACTTTTTTTTTAAGCCTGACTATTCATTCATTTCACATTATCTCCTACTCAAACCAATTCACTGCTGACTGACATATATTTACACACGCACATACAAATCCTTAGATAATGTTGTTTGCAATGAACAAAGTTAAGAAATCTAGTTCTAAACCATTGTTTATTGATTGGTTTTTGTTTTAGTTTTCCGCAGTTATGTATTCTTGATGTAAAAATAATATTCAATTCATATTGTGTATATCAGTTTAAAATATTGCCTTTATTACTATACTGTATTCATTCAATGTTATTTATTATTTAATAGTCATGCTCTCCTCTCCAGTAATATAATGAATGTATCCACTATATTACATTATGTGAAGAATAAACAGAAATACAAATGACTGAATGTTTATGCTAAAAATTTTGTTGGGGGGGGCGGCGGGGGGTTTCTATTCATCTTAAGCAATTGTTGATATTTAAAAATTAGAGCATTGGTAGTTAATTGTTTATTTATAATAGTAGTAATAATAATAATAATAATAATAATGGCTTATATTCAATATGATATGTTTAGTACACGATATATTTGTAATTCTTTGCACAGAATATTTGAACAAATTTCTTTTACAAAAATCAAAATCTATGGTATTTTTTATTGAGAAGAATGTTTAAGAATACAAGTTTTTTGATCAGGTCAGTTTTTTTCATCACCGGTTTGTCACATATTGTATGTATTAACTAAAGTATTGTAGAGTTGTGTCATATGTTTGGTTCCGTTTATGGATTCTAATATATGGTGAATGGCATCTTATTCTTTTAAAACGGTAAACAAAGAGAAAAAAATGTGAATGATTAGTGTCGGATATTGTATCACTTGCCAAGAGTTTGTAAGTTTTTTGGTAAATTCTCTATCCATCAGTATATTCATATTGAATTCAAAAGATCACTTCCATGAACTTTGGTATCAAAATAAGCCACTAATACTCCGCTGTTTTATACATACATATATATGTATACTTTTCACAATCCACATTACTTCGATATTCTTGGTTTATGATGATTGTAAAAGTATTTGTGTTTTGTTGTCTCAGAGAATAAGTAAATGGTGATTCGATTATCTGATTCCTCTTACATAGACATCAGTGATAGTTCAGTTAAGCATGTGAAATGCTTTTTTTTGAAAAATCACAATACTTTTTATAACTTTTCATTTTCAGAGCTCAAATTATGTAGTTTTGATTGTTTCATTCTCACTGATTTATTTTGTTAGTAGGTATTGTTTAAGTGATATAAAATGCGTCATCATCTTTTTGGGGACGTTAAATCCCCTGAACTCACTTGGAAAAAGTCCTAATTTTGTAATTTTATTCTGAAATTTTGAATTTCCATGTTTCCGTGCCAGTTGACTTTCAGCTTACATTTCCTCTCTCGGAAAATCCTTGACTGTCATTGGTTGATGGATTATTTTGGAACGTTATTTTGTGGCTTTCCCCAGGGAGTTTCTATCATTGTATAAATAAACAAGCTTGATTTGTGTGCTTAAACACCTTATATTTTCTGGGTGCTTGTAGAATACATTCTCTACACCTTATCAAAACCTCTTGATCTAGTTAGCCGGGCCGGGAAAAAACGGATTAGAACAGCTTATCTCGTCACTGTATCGTTTACCTTCGTTCCATTTACCGAGTAAGGTCAGCACGTAATAGCATTCAAGCATATTAAATGACGAATTGGCTAGTTGTTAACTTCATACATTCATATAATTCAGTTAATAACTAATAACTTTTATTTTTGATATTATTACTTAAATCTAGTTTTACAGTAAAAAGATATTTTCAGTTTCGGTTTGTGGAATATTTAATATTTACATAGTTTGTAACTAATTAATTTATTTCGAAGACAACTTTTATCATTTGTCAATTGTATTCTTCAACTGTGTACAACGACAGTTATGATTAAAAAAGAACTCAAATTAGAACAAAGCAACTACCGAACTACCTGGTTGGGGCCCTCATCGAGATGGTTAGAGACCCTGAGTGACATGGCTCAAAATCGTTTGCAATGGCGCAGGTGCATACATTCTTTGTGTTCTCTCTTAAAAATCCTAACGTTCGGAGTTCCTCATCACCTTTATCTAATATCGTCGAACCTTAATCTCTTCGGTTAACTGCTTATACTTTTGCTACCTCTACCACTATGGGATTTGAATTGACAATTGTATCTCTGTGGTAATGTGGTATGGCAACGTACGTACGAAGTTCTATGTTGTTGTTGATTGACTTCTCATAGTTTTATTGTTCTCACTGACACTGATATCATTTTATTAGAAAATCTTTTTTCTCATATCTGAATGTTTTTATTGAATGAATGTTACCATTATTATTCCCTTGTTGTTGATGATGTTTTTATATTCTGGAATTTTTTGCTTCTTCGCACATGAAACATTTTAATCTTTTTTTTTCTTTTGTTTTTGTTTTTCTTTATGTTTTATAGACCAAAAGAAGATTTAAGCAACTGTTTAATTGAACCGCCAGATTTTATTGAGCTACCAGAAACTGATTGTGAAGAAACAAGAGAATATTCTATGACCGATTGTACATTAATGAATAGTTCACATAATACAACTGTTGCTTCTACTACCAATAATAACAATAATAATAATAATAATAATAATAATAACAATACTAATACTTCACTTGAAAATCAAGATTCAATAAATATTTTAAAACCTTTAGATGATAATAGTTCAATGAATAATAATAATACATTAAGCAATAACCCATTAGATATATTACATTCATTAAATTTGGATACAATACCATCATCTTCTTGTATATTATTATCTACTTCACCTTCTTCATTGTCATCCATTTCAACTCCAGCGCCATTATCATCTATTGCTGGTAGATTATCACCAAAAGATACTCATCCGTCTACCTCATTTAGTTATTTTCAAATACCTTCACAGGATAATTCATCTATATATCCTGTTGGTAAGTTGAATAGTGTTGCATATCTTTACATTCTTTTTGTATCGTAGTTTATAAACTTTTTATTTATTTCTATGATACTGATATAAGCAGGTGATTATGAAGTGCTTCATTTTTAGTGTAAGCAAACTTTTTCTGTGTAACGTGATACTAATACCCTGCAGTTACTTGATATATATACCATAGTTTTTAAACTTGTCTTTGAAGAAATCAAGGCAACGCCGTATGTTGCTAACCTTCAATGGCGAATATCTTTAACGGGTTACTAGTACATGTCAGACCACGGAAGTAGTATCTGGGGAGTCTCATCAGTGCTGATGGCCTGGTGACTGACGAAATCTCAGCTCGGATACAGAAGGCTCGATTGGCTTTTGCCAACCTGCGTCACTTATGGCGTAGGCGTGATATCCGTTCGCTAACCAAAAGATGAGTGTACTTTGCAGCAGTTCGCTCTGTCCTACTATACGGATGCGAAACATAGCCGTTAAGAGTAGAGGACTTTCGTAGGTTACTAGTATTCGACCATAGATGTTTAAGAAGCATTGCTCATATATCGTGGGACAACCGAGTAAGCAATGCTGTCGTTAGGAAACGAGTACTAGGTAGTGATGGCAAATCAATAGATGAAGTATTGAAACTTCACCAGTTGAGGTGGTTGGAACATGTGTTACATATGCCCAACCACCGACTGCCTTGACGATCTATGTTTTGTGGTGTAGGAGTAGGTTGGGTTAAAGCTAGGCGCGGCCAAACCAAAACATGGCAGAAATGCATGAAGTGACTGACAAGTGGACTGAGTGATGTTGGTAGATGTAGGCTAGCTGGTTGGAGTCCGCGAGACGAAAGTCATCAACGGTTAGAGACCTTGAACGAGATGGCTCGAAATCGTTTGCAGTGGCGCAGGTGCATCCACTCTGTGTTCTCTCTCTAATTCTAATCTCCTGATTTCCTTATAATCTCTATCTTTCTCTTTATGAATATTTATCTCACTGAATTATACTCATCGAATCATATCTTCGCTCCCTAATCCTCTGCATTACTGCTAATATTTCTACTATCGCTATCACTGTTGGATTTGAATTGACAGTTGCATCTCTGTGCTGATGTGTTATGGCAACCCGGAATTATGTACATACGTACGAAGTTCTGCGTCGTATCTCTCTGTCTGTCTGACGGAAGTAGTAACACCGAGATTGTATGTAGAGTACTAGGTAAAAATGGTAAGTAGGTGGATGAACCAAGTGTTGCAAATGTTGAGGTTAGCACATATGTTAAGTATGTTTAAACACTGCCTAGTCTTACATACAATGAGGTTTGCACAAAATAGGTGTTAAGAAACCAGAAATGGCCAAAGTAAAAAGCGATGTTACTCCTTAAAACCATCAACTGTTAATAATTCAAGAAGTATAATCTAGTTAAATAAATTTAAAAAGAGAAAGATAAAGGTAATGAAAGATTCAAAAGATTAAATTTTTAGAGTAGACAAAGAATCGATTCACCTGTGGGCAAACGATTTTGAGCCATGTACCTTGTAGTTTGCAATTTTATTCGATTTTTCGAACTATACTTTCCATATGGGTATTTTGACTGTGTTACTGTTTAGCGTTTTTTTGGCAAGTTAGTTTTTTGACGAGATGGGGTTGCCAACCCCATGCCCAACCGGGCTTGGGACCGGCAGTAGTAGCCCCGAAGGTTCTACTGGCGGGAGTTGACTGTGTTAGTATTCATGTTTTATTTTCGAAAATTTCATGTATATTAGTTAGAAAGACTTGAACAGACACACTTTTGTTCCATGTTTTTGAATTTTTTTTTCTTATTAGAGTTTATATTATCAAACAGAAAAAAAAGAAAAGTAATATTAACTCTGCCAATTAAAAGATTTCAAACCAATGAACAACATGTTATTATTATTCTTTGTTATCTTATACTGCGTGACTATAATCTTTCTTCATTCGTTAAAACTTTTTATTTATTTATTTTTTTCATTTTTTGACTGCGTGATCAGTGGATATAATATATTGATTTTTTTTTTTTGAAAAAAAATTGTTGAATTAGCATTTTATAAAATTGAATAATTTCAATTTTACCTTTTTTTTTGTTTGGTGGTTTTGTTACCTCAGCTATATAATTTAATCTTATTGTGCATGAAATTAGTTTAATGCACACTGTTATAATCATAAAATTTTGTCTAATAAGTTTAAAATATGGACTTAATAATTATTATTATTCTTAAACAAAAGTAGACATAAACCTCTTATTAGTAGTAGTTATGTTAATGTTATTACGTTGTTCTACTTTCTGATAAGATTTTTTTATGAATTTATAAAGAATGGATGAACGACTGGATGAAGATTATTCTTATTATTGGAACTAAAAGTTGAAATTAGTAGTAGTTATACTATGGTCATTTTCTAACGTTCACTTAATCGATACTTGTGGCATTTGTTCATACAATTACTGAAGTTATGAGTGTCACAATAGTCAACAATAATTATAATAATAATAATAATAATAATAATAATAATAATAATGGTAGTAGTGATAGGGATAATATTGTTGAATTTCGTTAAAATCATGAACTGATCTATCTTAACTAACCGTTAAAAGCTTGGAGGCTGTGTACGGCTGTTTTGTTCTGGTATGTAACTCCTTGTCAGTGCGCATCAGCGACCTCTTATGGGGGAATCGAACCAACGATCTATGGCCTTGTGTGCATACATTTAACCTTTTAACTACTGAGCTGGCATTCAACGGTTTTGGTGTCTAGCTTCAATTAATTCATGACATACCGCGGCTATCTCCTTATTGTGTTCGATGGATAACTGTCATAGTGGTCAGGAAGTTAAGCGTTGGCATGCAAACCCTAGGGTCCTGATTGGGTGCACACTGATGAGAATTTTCATACTACGACAAAATGGCTGTCCAGTGTTTCTAACTTAGATCGCTTCATGGTCCTAATGATATTATTATTATTATTCTGTTGACTGTCATATGTACTGTTTACAAAATAACGATTGACTTAACAAAATCCAATCATTTAAGTACTTGTGTAAATATGTTCGGCTTTTCTTAAAACTTTAATCACTCAGACTCATAATTAACGTTTTTACTCCTTTCAACTGTGACTAACTAGTATGAATATAATTATGTGAAATAGATTGTGACAGTCGGCATATGATAAGAAAAGTTTATCAGGACCTGTAAGTCACAATTAACTAATATCATAGATATGTGGGAGGGGAAAACTCTTTATAATATGCACGTATGGATGGAATGGTAATTGATCAAGTATGGTAAGTGATGTTACATGGGTGATGGGTAACTAATTAATTCGGCTAAATCCATTAACTCGTTACATTTAGTAACACTTGCATAGTGTTTTAAACAATGCTTGACTTGTTACATTGTATGAAATTTGCCCGATTAAAAATAAGCCGACTAGCTTTAATTGATATCTACGGAAATTTTTTTAAAACGACATCTAATTACAGCAATAAACTACAGATCTTTTTCAAAATACTCGTGTTTTATAATGTAACAAGTATATGAAATACATATATTTGAATAACTATTACTTTGTAACTCTACTAGACTAATTGAATACATACGAACAAAACAACCATACAGAAAATATTTGATATATAGTCAAATAAATTTATCTCATCCATCCCATCTAATTGAATTCAACGAAGCTACGCCTCCTGACTACGAGTTATTTATTCAAATAGCAATTATTGCTAAATAATCTACATTAAATTATCAATATTTGACTATCAATAAAGTTGATAATATTTATTAGGTTTTGTACTAGAAATCAAATCAATCGGTAATGTTTGTAACTACATTATATCATCTAAAAGGTTAATGTGAATTTAAAGAATGTTATTAATGAATCTATGTGTGAACAGAAATACTGTTCAATAGGAATTGAACAGTATTTCTGTTACTTGTAAGATATCCAAATAGTGTGTACAAATTATTAAATCATACATTACAAAAATAAACTTGTTTTTAGTGTGAAACTTATACTATTGATCACTGGTTGTAACTTGGCTTATAAGTAGTCTGCAGCTATGTCATCCAGAAGTTAATACTGGAGAGCCGTGTGTCGAATCCCAATATGTGGCACAATCAAAATGTTTTGAAGACCAGAAGATATGTAAAAGGCGACAACCCATAATCTGCTTGTATTGCTTATAGTAGTCGGAAGATAAGATGTACACATTTCATTAGTAAACTAATTCTTTTCTAAATACATCACTATTCCATCTAGTATTATTGTCTTCGTTCATTGGAACAGTAAGATTTGTATCAATACCAAATACAATTGCAATCCTAAACACCATCGGGAAGATTCAAACAACCAATGCAAATCAGTTAAATATCATCCCACTGAACAACCTAGTAGTTGTCTGATCTCAATAGCTAAGCACATAACACGATGGTATTTGAAGTGCACGGAACTAGGTTAAAGTGTCAGAGTGAGTGGACGTTAACTCTGAGATGTATGTACTCCCAGTGGTTGAGTTCTAAACAAGATGAAACGAGTGTCTTAAATTTTGATTTTAGCCTCCATCTATTTCTGGATAACGACTAAAGCTCAAAGGACGATACCTAGTTTGTTTGTTTTCCAAATAAACTCTAATTTCTGTGAATCGCATCCTTAATTGAATAAGTTAAGCAGTTTTCATCAACTGATATTATTGGAGCATATATTACGTATCCCTACCCCTACTTATGATATTTGTTGATGTAGAATTAACTTGGAAGGAAATTATGTGTATCGAAATGAAAACGTGATATCAATCAACTATGTCACTGACAGTTGTACTGACCTATATCGATATTTTCAGTCTACCAGGTTAGGGTCTACTTGGTAAATGTACTTCTAAGTAGTAACAATAAATGATTGCTGATGTATTTACTTTTTATCTCCTCTTAGATCTTGAATTCCCAACTTTTGCTTTTTTCTGTCCCACGAATTTATTCTTTCTGATCAAATT